TGAAGAGATATGCGACACGGGCCACAGATTCGTGCATACATTGCGCAACAGAATTTGGCGATCAATTGGAAGAGATCCTGTGTGCATCACACCTGGACCACCCTCCAACGGTGTACTAAACACCATAGAATGGACAGGAGAGTCCGCTGGAAAAGTATCAATAGAGTAAGGGAACAAAGGATGAACGATCCTAGGGATATGCAATAAACTCGATAAGATATCGGGTGTAATCTTAACTGACCTACCTCGAAGAAAAACCCTAAAATTTGAACCACTAACATCATGAATGTTAGCGCAAAACTCTTGAACGAGAAGGCTAGAAGGAGGTGTCAACTTAACCAGCAAAGGCTCCCAACCCCGGGAAGTGAAAATAGCAGCGAGGTCGAGTGACAAGTCAGACAAAATGACCTCGCGCTCAAATAAAACAGGTCTCAAGGAAAATTGGGACCCAAAAGTGTCGTGGGTAGTCGTTGAGACAAACCTAGACCTACTTTAGGAAGAGGATGTACCAGGAGTCAGAGTAGTAGTGCAAGCACTCTTTGGCGGCATCTGAAACGGATAAACCCAGTAGATCAATACCACGACTGAACACATGATATGCGTGAAATGTACGCATGTACACAAACCGAGGTAAACATGAAATATGTAATGCACCCATGAAAGAATGCACAACAAAAAAATGATGTAATGCTTAAACGGAGATGATGTGATGTAAGAACGTCATGACATCGTGACGTGAGGCCTTGATAGTGGGATGCAATGACGTGACCTGTGTCGTGATGACATGACGCGGTAACTTGACATCACTTTGCGGTGTCAATATCAAAACACTGCAACAACTACATGACATGAGCATGTATTATTAACCACTCCAACCTCAACACTTCAACCAACACAACGCCAAACCACCAACTAACCAACCTCCATCAACAAACCGAGTACCAAACACCAAATACCCAGTAAAAATACAATATACATCAAGAAAAACTCATCAAACCACCAAACCATCCTCAAAATCAAGGAAAAAATATGCACAAAATAAAAGGAAAACTTCACCAGTACTCCAATCAACACTCAATCCAACTTCAAACCCAAATCTCACCCCACAAATGGCCAAAGCATCAACCACAAAACACTTACAAATGCTAATGCAACCTTTATCAACAAACTGAATAAAAATGAACAAATGGAGTGAAGAACATCAATAAACCCAAAGAAAATCACGCCAACATAGTCCAAAAATCCAATGTTCGAATCAAAATTATGCAATAGGTGATGACATTGTATGTGAATCAATCAAACATGAAGTGTAAAGGATTTTAAGGATTACCTTTGAAATTCGATGATTTGATGAAATAGCCCCACAAATGAATGATTGGTGATGTTCAAAACTTGAGAAAATCCAAGATTGAATATGGGTGGTGAAATTTGAGAGGAATCAAACGAAAAAATGGGAAGAAAGTGCGAAAAATCCTAAAAAATAATGTTAAAATTCAAAAATATGGTTTGTCGCTCGTGCGAGGAAGCTTCTGCTTCTATCGCTCGAGCGTCTCCCAACGATAACCCAACGAAAACTTATTGACAAAAATAACACTGAATTTTTGAAAAGAAAAAAACACATTTTTTTAAAAATTTAGTCTGGGACATACAAATGAACTCAAATATGCACGTACTCACAAGTATTGCATTATCAAGAAAAACAATTCCCCATGTACTCAACTAAGTTTAAAATGGAGTAAAGTGTATAAGTAACTCACGTATGTTAAGTGCCACTATTTTCTCGTGATCATGACTCCAAACCTTAAATTTGTAAGAAAAGACATGCAAACATGATAGTCAAATAAAATATTCCCTTACTAATGAAAGTCAAATCCATAAGATAATTAAGACCTTAAAGTGAGCTCGATTCCACGGATATTTTCATTTTCTCCACTTGAATATGAGCATTTAATTTTTTATATAATTTTTCACAAATACTGCATCGTATATGTAGATTTTTTCCATTAAGCAACTAAATGACCCCGTAACGAGCTTTAGGACGGTTAACCCAAGTCAGTTGACCATAGGCATCAAGTTATGAGAAACCCCTCAGACTTAATTACTCGACTCAAATAGGCTTCGAACACAAGTATAAGATGAATCGAGTAATATTTTTTGTTGAATGAGGACAATATATGAGCTTAGGTCATCGATATGAAGGTCAATTCGCGTTCAAGGTCACCTTATCAACAGATGTCAGCCATCCCAAATCTTACACGGTCCAGACTCACTCACAAGATCACAGTATATGCAATGCAGATGGTACATGAAAAAACATATACTCAATACTTCACCGTAAACAGAACAAATATAACAGTGTAGATCAGATGAATGCACGCTCGGTCCTACATGCAACATTTAAGAGCACCATGATATTTATAGGAGCACAAAAACATAATTTAAACATATTTTTTTTATAAAATAACTGCACACACCAAGCTCAAAACAAAATACAAATATGTGATAAGCATGCAAGAATGAATGAACTCAATGAGCTACACATGCATGCACCTAAGTATCTAATCAAGAAGATACATGAATGCTCTTACCTTTAAAGCATGATCAAACTTACGACCTTTCAAGTCACTCTTCTTAACCCAAACCTTCTTAAAAATAGAAGTGATCATAGTTAACCGAGTCATCATCTCAGTTAAATGGTTTACCTGATTAGCTAGAAAGTCAACCTTGCTAGAGAAATTCTGACTTTTACTCCTAGTTACGAGTTTACGACACCTAGGTCTTGTGTGTCCTAGTGCACCACAATGGTGACAAGTGGGAATAACCTAGGTTCAAATCTGTTTGGAGGTTGTTGACAATAAATTTGATGATTGACCCTACGTTATCTAGTAGGTCTTGATCCAAAGATATTCGTGTCCTTAGGTTCAGGATTAATAGCATTTTGAGCGTTGTTAGTGGCTAGGACGAACGTGGTCTTGGATGTACTAGCAGTAGTATTACCATTTTGAACGTAATCCAAACCATGCCTATTTTCAATAGGCTTGTTCATCCCTAACAAATTGTCGAGTTTCTATATACCACTCATGAACTAATGAAGTTGAATATTAGATTTTTCAAGATCACTTGTTAAGGATTTAACTTTTGCTTCTAAGTTCTCATTAACAAGTTTCAACTCATTCAGATTTTT